AGAAGGTTATGTATTCACCGATGTCACTGCCTGGGTGTCTATTCCAGTTTGTTTTTTATATCTAGTATCTTTGTTGAGAATTGATAATGAAATACGCGATGACTTGGTAACGAAAGTTTGGCACAAGTTTTTTTAGATCCAGCTGTAGGGGGCGTCCCATTTTTCGTATTCCCACCATGCAATTCTTTGGAACACGGTGGAACACTTTTTTTGTGTGGAGAACTCTATCTTGTATTTCTAGTATCTTTGGTAGTAGTAACGAAAATTGGCATAAACTTGTGGACTTTTGTGGGCTCAATAACCTTGCTATCACAGGAACCATATTTCCTCACCGAAACACGCAAACAAATAGATCATGTTCTCGTCAGCAGACAACACACAACATCATACTAGATACACGGATAATGAGAGGGGCAGACATTGTTAGCGATCATCTACTTGTTTGCACAAAGATCAGAATAAAATTAAAAAGAAAACAACAAGCACAGTCACCTAGAAGATTTGATTATGTCAAATTACAAATACCTAACATCAAGAGACAGTTTTCCATAAAACTTACAAACCGCTATGATGCTCTACATAATCTAGACAGTGTGGATTTGGATAGTTCTAATAATATGGAAAGAAGATGGCAAGAATTTCAAGACACTTATACACGGACTGCAATAGAGGTTCTGGGTTACAAGAGAAAAGGACAGAAACCGTGGGTCGGAACATAGGCGTAGATCCCGGGGGGGGGGGAGATGGGGGATATATCCCCCCAATATTTGACAAGGGGGGGATGGTCCATTGTATCATCCCCCCAATATTTTGACTATGTATGGGATCTGTCTCTTATATTACACACTTCAAAAGACTGTCACAGAAATAATTTGCACTGTCTTATGCGCTTACAAAGATGAAAATTAGCATAATGTATTAATGTTGATAACAAAATTATTTTATCTGGTACCAATCTACAGTAAGCTCTTCTTTCCTTAGATGTTAGATGTGCTTGCAAAGAGAGCCACATTTCACACTGAAGAGTGTGTACGACATCAGTTATGTTATGTCAATTCCAAGGTTATATCGGTTGATGAGAAATTTATTGATTAGGCCTATAATAGTAAATTGCATCAATTTATTCTGCAAAAACAATGTTTCCAGCTTCAGAGGGGGTCACATCCCCTGTCTGCACAAGGGCACACATTGGCGCCAACACCAGGCCCGTAACAGGGGTCTTGGGTCAGAGTGGGTATTTATTAATTTTATTTATTTTATTTTTTATTTCAACCATCTTTAAAGAGGGTAACCCTTCTAGTTTAGCCCAGTAGGTTAACTGATATTCAGGGGCCCTTTAAAGAACAGTACAAACAACATAACATTAAAGAACAGTACAAACAACATCATTACAACATAATAATAATAAATATAAGCATTTTCATCATGGTTTTATTTATTACAAACATATTCTTTCACCATCTATACACATTGAGACCCTTCTTTTAGGTGAAAATGATCTATCTTAACTTTGTCTTTCTTGAGTTTGGGACTATTATGTGTTTAAATAACTTAAAAGGATAAAACTAAAAAAGCCCTAAAAAATGCGCGCCAAGCGCGCAAAATATTTTTGTGTTTTTAATTCTAATTTCGTCGGAATTAATGAAAACTCCCTAAAATGTGCAATTTATAGAGAGGAAATTGGCCTACCGTAACAAGAAATGCGCGCAAAGAATTTGAGAATTTTAGGCACTTTCAGAGGATGCATTTGTCTTATCTTATTTATAATATAGGCCACACACGTGTGTTTGAAACTAAATATAAGCA